TTGTACAGGCAGAAGTACAACAACAATCACCTGCACTCCTCCTTTAAAACCTGATGGGAGTCCTTGTGCTGGGCACCATCCTCCAAGAAAGTTGGAGCAATTAAGTCACTCAACACTTCAGAAAATACCAGTCAGAAAACCAAAGGAGGCTGTAATGTTGCAATGTCCGTTTATGTTGGGAACATATTATTATAGTGACTGTAGCAGACTGGTCAAAAATAAAGGGATAAATCAAAGCAAAGAAGATTCAGTTTGGATATTAGGAAAAAAAACTTTGTAGTTTTCTTTGTAGAGATAATGACTGTTGGGAGAGACTCTGCAGCCCTCCAGTTGATGTCTATAAAAACAAAACTCATTTAGTTGTACACATGTCATTTGAGGACTCCACAGTCTGGAACAGCATGAGGAGGGGGAATCCGGCCTCAGAGAAATCATCTTCTCATCCCCTTCACCTCTTTGCTATTGGGACTCCAGCCTATTTTCAGCTCACAGGAGGCAGAAGCAGTCTGTTCAGCAGTCAGATCAAACAGCAGACTGGTGTGAGTCACAACCACTTAGCAACTTGCTTAAATAAATTGTGAACACAGAATATATTCAAAGAATTTGTTGATTATTTCCCTTGAACTTGTTGGGATTAAAGCCCTATTTTATTTAAGTGCCTGTAGCTCTTAAATTTCTTTTAGTAAAATTCCTGTGTTTTATGCACCTACGTTAATAAATCCAGGTTAGTTCTATGCACAACATCTTTAGCTAGAAGGAACATAAAAAATATGGCATTTTTAAAATATAAAATCAAACTGATGTTATTCACTATGCATAAAAATAAGTAATTGGAAGAGCCACAAATAACTCACTGGCTTTCCCAACTCCTAATTTCAGTAACCTATAGAAAACAACCTTCTCTCACTTTAGTGGTCTGCTTTGGCTTTATTTTTTTCTTTTTTAAATATAATTTTTTAAAATAAATAAACATCTCAAATGCATTCCTTGCACAGGTCTTGTTTCTGGAACTAGCTGTTGCCCTCCTTTCTTAGAGGATTATTTGGCATTTATGTCTCATGATTTTAGACAATATTAGAGGTGCAATTTGAAAAGCAACTCCAGAAATTTGGTATTATTGCTTGTACATTATTGCTTTTTAGCTGAAAAAAAAAAATGTAGTTGTTGTGTTTTAAAGGACCAGCCACAATTGATCTTGCCTGATTTTCCGTGTTTTAATTCCAACTCAGCATGGCTGTAGCCAACAGGCTGGCAATCCACCAGCTGCATTCTGCCTCTCTTGCTCCTAATTACTCAGCTCTCCAGTACTCTTCCCTTGTCAGTTCTGTTCTGGTCACTACAATTAATTCTGCCTCTCTTGCTCCTAATTACTCAGCTCTCCAGTGCTCTTCCCTTGTCGGTTCTGTTCTGGTCACTACAATTAATTCCCATTTCTTAGTCCTATATTCACCTTCAGCTCATTAATTTTTGGCCAGTCTCCACTGCTGTTTCAGCTCAGCATTTCGCAATTTATCTCATCACTGTTTTAAGACCTTTTTCGTCTGTCTTTGGTTTTGTAGGGTTGAAGAACAGTTTCTAACTGCACCTTACAGAAGAATGGGCAAATATTTTGCTGTTGTCAGTTCGGTGCCAGGGTAGCTTCTTCCTCTTCCACCAGCCATTTTTCTTCACAGGCTGGTCTGGGAGCACAAAACCATCTGAAGTGTGCGACAGCACTATCAAATATTTCTTTCCCCTGTAGGCTTAAGAGCTGTTTTATGAGCAACAGTGCATGGGAAGAGAGACTGTCTAATGAAGCCCAAATCTCAGATGGAAGTTCTGAGCTCCAAGTGGTTATTTTAAGGAATATTGCAATTAATATCTCACACGAGGGTGTTTTCAGATTCCTGGGCAGAGTCAGGAGGCACTGACTAATGGCTCTTCCTTAGAAGACAAGAAATATGGGTTATTCTTATTTATTTTCTCTCTTAGTCCTTTTTTTCTCTGCAGATTTGTGGCCTCACTGAAATCCCTAATGGTAAATTGTGTAACCAGTCATACTTCAGCTATTTGGTCATTGTACAAGCATGCCTTAATCTGAGTTAATCTTAATTCTTTGAAGTGGATCTTTGTATAGATTTGGAAACAAATATTAAAGTTTTCTCTGTGGGAAAGTAAAAGGAAGCTTGTGCCTGCTTGGAGTTTCCATTACTAGTCTATCCTAATGGCAGATGACAGTGAAGAGATAAAGTATTGTAAGATTGCAGATAAACCCTTTAAAAACTATCTAGTTATAGGATTGATCTTGTTTGGGCCAAATTCACTCACATGTGATGGTGGAGTTTTATTGCTTGGAACTAAGCTCAAATGAAACCTTAATACTGCTCCCTGACTACTTTGAAATCCTTACTAGTAGTACCTAGTTTTACTTTACAGATATCATGTGAAATCCTGTGAAAAACAGGGAAAGACCACCATTCAATACAGACTTCATATTTATTGAAAGGAAATGTCCTGGGTTTGGCTGGGATAGATTTTTCTATCTTTCTTCCTATTACTTTCTTCCTAGTAGCTGGTGCAGTGCTGTGCTTTGGATTTAGTATGAGAATAATGTTGATAACACACTGATGCTTTTGCTGTTGTAGAGCAGAGATTACCCTAAGTGCAGGGTTTTTCAGTTTCCCATGCTCTGCCAGGGAGCAGGTGCACAAGGAGCTGCAAGGCAGAAGGGTCAGGACAGCTGACCCCAACTGGCCAAAGGAATATTCCATACCACAGAATATCATGCTCAGTATATAAACTGGGTGCAGTTGGCCAGGAGGGGATGATCACTGCTCGGGAACAGGCTGGGCATCAGTCAGTGGGTGGTGAGAAATTGCATTGTGCATCACTTGTCTGTCTTGGCTTTTATTCCTCCCTCTCTCTTTCTCATTTTCATTATGATTACTGTTATTATTATAAATTATTTTAATTATTAAACTGTTCTTATCTTAATCCATGAGTTTTACCTTTTTCCTCTTCTCCTCCCAATCCCATTGGAGGTATAAGGGAGTGAATAAGCAGCTGTGTTGTACTTAGCCACCAGCTGGAATTAAACCATGACAGGAAAGAACTAGAATAAATACAGAATGAGTTCAGGAATACAAATGCTCCACATCTCTTTATCAACCAGTTGGAATCGCAAAGTAATTTAAAAAAAAAAAAAAATCTTAGGATGAAGTTGCATGAAATGCCTAATGCTTGAATTTGAGATGTTAGTTATTTGAAGGAAGTGATTATTTGAAGTAGACACTGGTATGTAATTAGTTAACTGTGAAGGCAAAGCAGGCAATATACCAATTGATGCAATTGGTGGCAGCGGGAGTTTGGAAATAAATATCTCTATTTGGCACTGAAAAGTGAAACAGAGCTCAAATTTCTGTGGATTGCCTGGCCCCAAGTTCATGCCTCAGAGCTCACATTTCTGTGGTAAAATTAAATCTCAGAGTTTAAGATCTGGGATTCAGTGTGGCTGTTTATTAAAATTCATCTGACCTCCCTAGGTTGTGAATATTTTAAGTTGACCTAGATGGAACTCTTGATAAAATCAAACTCTGATGGGGCATTTCCATAAAAGCTTAGTAGAATTGTGCTAACAAAAATGGAGACACTTTAAAGCGGTGATTGTCATCCTACCTAGAAACCAGAAGCACAGTGGCATTTGAAAACAAAGAACAAACAGAAATTCCAAACCTCGCAAAACCTTAACTGAGAAGAACATGAAGAAAAGCCATTCATGGTGATTTATAATGCCTTTTATACTGGCTTCACTCAGACTGTCTCTTTAAAGATGCTTCATTCATGGCTACAGCTGCATGAGACTACTGACAGAGCCAGTGGAGAAGTGAGGCAGAAGGTAGCTCAGCTCCCTTCTGCCCATAGCTGGTCTGTGCGGGAGTCTTGTGACTAGTGGCAACAATGCAGACAGGTATCCGATGTTAAATGAGATTACTCCAGTATTAATGCATTCAAATCAGTTGTCCACTTGTATCTATGACTGTCCCATTGCATGTATGTGTGTGTGTGTGTGTGTGTGTGCATTTTTAGGGTTCGTAATCCCTTTGAAACAAGATTGCAGTTTCTCAATATCAAACCAAAGTCAGCATGACAGATGGTACCAGAGTTGGCTATCCTGAGTCTATTCTGTGCATTGCTAAACAGTTGTCCTGTGCACCCTACGATGCCCTGGAGGTATCAGCATTTTGTCATTTGACTTAGTTCCCATCTTTGCTTTTCTACTCAGATTCTGACCACCAGCCTTACACCACCTCTATCAGTCAAAAGCATTGTATCTTAGGCTGAGCAGAGATTTCTGGTTCTAGCTAAGATTAGCTTCAGAAGCTCCATATCTGCTGTCTCATGGGCAACATCTACATGCACTCATAAACCTGTCAACAGAACTCTGTGTGAGTAACCTCAGCAGTACACATACAACAGCACATCCAAACAGAGCCCCTGAATTAAAATGATAGCCTTCTGTGTAAACCTACTGTAAGTTTACACTACAGACTGCATACTTAGCACTCCCAAACCACTACCTTTTCAGCTTAAAATGTTGGATTGTATCACAAGTGACAGCAAGGAGAAAGAAACACAGTCCTATTCAGCAAGTATACCCTTGTGTTTTTGTGCAGCATTGTTCATATCCATTCCTAAGGAAAGGCAGTTCAGTCCATCTGGTCTGGGGTAGTGACTGAATTGCTGTGCAGACTGCACTATTATAGAACAGGTCTAGCCTAAAGAAAGGTTTGCTTATGAGATGATAAGCAAGCTGGAAAATCTCTCTGCTGCTAGCTTGATAAAGAGAAAAGAAAAAGTAAATGATTATCAAGAAAGTGTGTTTGATTAGGTGTCACTGAGAGAAAGAAAATGCCATTTCATGTCACTTTTTAGAAAGCACAAAGTGTGTAACTTTTGGGGATCATTTTGCTCTTGGCTAATCTTCGGATTCAATATTAAAATCTCAAACTTCCCAAAGGAAAGAGATTCTGCATCTTTTAATGAAAGATAAAACAACAATATAAACATACACAAATTTACAGAGAAAGGATCAACTTTAATACATCTGGAGTAAAAGGTGTTCTTTTTTAAATATGGTATAAAAATAAATGCAAGAAACATTAACAGAGAATATACAGACAACAGACAAAGACACAGGCTTTCTTTCTCAATGTGAATACATCAGTGAAATGAAACCTTCTGTGCTAATTTATTGTGCAATAAATGTGATGCCATATGTATATTTATTAATATATGCATTTTTTACATTTCTTCCAGTTTTTGATTGACGTATTTTTTTAAATAAACTGTGCCTAGCAGAAGCTTTTTTTTCACTGTACTTGAGCTTGCAGAAAATAAAAAGACACAGATCCAGCTTGATATGAAGGAGGAAGTGAGCAGACAGTTTTCGAAATGGAGGCATCGAAAGGCTAGAGAGTCCCTCGGAGTCTGTAATGCCTTAGTATACACAAAAGAAAACAAGTCAGGTCCTTGCTCATGCAACATCTTGTTCTACTGTCCTCTGAGTCAGGCAATCAGTGAGCTACAAAGTATGTATAATGATTTGAGTCTGCTTCCATGCTACAAGGTGATCCTTTTAGTAGGACTGCACTAGACTGGTTAACCTCTTTGATGTGAGCGATTTCCCCTGAGGAAAAGATAAAAACAAAAAACAAAAACAGAAAACAGAGGCATGATCACTGCAAACCTATTCATCAGCAACCACTCAGTGTTGCCACATCACTCTCAAGTATCTAGGGGCACCAACTGGAGTCTGTGAAATCTTAAACCACAGGAAGTCCTTAGGCTTAAACACCTGCACTGCCAGCCAGCCAGACTGTTTCACAGAACAAGCCAGCAAATTTAAGGACCATTTTTGAATGAGATTGGTTTTGGCTGATGAGAAACTGATACTGAGATTTTTGCTGTCAGTCATACCCAGAACCTGAAGAAGGCTACTGCAAGCAAGAGTGCCTTGTGCTGCAAAAGATGAATGTGCAAACTGCAGTAGCTCTGTCAAAGACAGAAAGCTACTTTCAAGTTAAGGTAAGAAAGTAAGAGGCAAATTGCATATAGGCAGGAAAGCAGGTTTTCCATGAACACAGCTATAGGCTTGTTGTGACCATATTTACTATTTACGAGAAACATCGGTCAGGTATATTACATGTCACTGCATAACACTTTTTGACGGTGTTTGGATTTCCATATTATTGTTTTCCTCATAATTTCTCCTGTTGCAAGGATGTGGTTTTAATTTTTTAGCAAGTTCTTTTAATAAGGTATAATGACTGTTCCACAAGAGCTAGGTCTTTGTGTGAAGAGGATGATATGTCACCATGATATATTTCAAGCAGATTTGAGCTTTATCTGAGCCAGAAAGGAAACACAGAACAGGAATTAGGTCTCCTATGGCCACACAGAAGGAGTTAGCTCTCCGAGGGCCATCCTACCGTGGCTCTGATCCACAGAGGCAGAGCTGGCACAGCAAGCTGACATCATTCCTCAAAATATCACAGGCATATCCTGACAATGTAACACAAATATATCATAAAACATTAAACAGAAAATGGCTCTAACTTGCCAGTTAGATATTTAATACTTACATTTACTGTATTGTTCATTTTAAGTGCCCAACTCAGAAATATCAAACTGATTCCAAGGAGAATACAGTAGGAAATACTGTAACTATGGAGAGATACTTCATTTTCTGCAGTAAATGCTAAATTAACTTCTTCTGCTATATCAATAAGTAGTTGTCATCTGCAGTATTATAATACAGTGGAATTACACAATTTAATATCTATTGTCATTATCAATTAAATTTATGCTCACACGGATCTGTAAGTTGGTTTTGAGCATTTGCTCAAATGCAATATATCAGAGTGGGTTTTCATAAAAAGAAGAATAACTATTTTATTCTTTGTGCTCTGAAATACAAGTTGAACAAATTAGGATGAATACTTCCTCTACAATATAATTTGGAAGCAAAACTCATGTTTACAACGTTAGGTTAGACTGCTCATCCATCAGGTTCACCATATCACCTGACAGTATTAATACTTGCTTTGTCAAAAGACAGAAAGTGTCCTTCCTGGCACACTGTATTCCTTGTATCTGTCACTTTCTACCTATATTAAATTCACAGCTTCTTGACACTTGTTAACCCTTATTTTATGTTTTCCTCTAATGCAACAGGAAAGTTGTTACAGTAAGACATCTTTTCTTTTTAAATAGTCAAAAAAAGCCTCAACAGAAGTGTGGCACTGGAATACAATTTAAAACAGCATGTCCAAAATTAAGTGTTTTGTTAGACAATTCATGACTGTCAGTCTCAGACATAATCTCAGAAAATATTGAACATATGCTTATCTTTGCTTTTCATTAAGTTATTTGCACTTAATTTTACAGGTCTACAGGTCTGGCTACCTTCTGTAAATATGTATGAGTTCCCTTTAGTACTGAACTGCATAACCCACTTAATTAAAATATGAAAACCAGGAGTTCTCTTTTAGTTATTAAAACAATTTTCTCTATATCACACTGGAAAGCTGCATAAGCTCTTGTGGTATAAAATCTGTGAAATAATTTTTATTATTATTTGCAACAATTATTTAGGAGTTATAAAATTTCTGGAATTTTTAAATGAACTATGGTTCTAACATCTCAGGAATTAATTTTGTTATCAAATAAACTAGGAAGTTTTGACCTAAAATCAGACCAAAAATAAGTTATTAATTGATCTGACTTGTATAATCTTTTCCTACATGTTGTTTGAATTTTCCCCTAGAGGCACAGTGAGTTGTCATGACAATTTTTTTCTGTATTCCATATCACTTGCTCCCAGGATATTGCTAGTCTTTGGATACTTTTTCTCCTATACCCTACATTGATCAGGAATTCTCTGGGTGGTCCTCTCTGTCATATCCGCTCTCTGCCTCAGAGAATATTATACTTCTTATAGATACGAACTCTTCATCTGAACAAAAACAACGTGGTCTTTTTCAAGGCATTAGTAGTTCTATTTTATCTTATAGTTGGAAAACTGACAATTTAGAAGATACACCCTCCTTCAGAGATCTTCTCCAATGTTTATACTGAATCATACTAAATTCTCTGATTAGGGAAAATACACAGAATATATATATTACATATATATATTATATATATATATAATACACAGAACCCAAATACAGAATTATCACATCTTCTTTTAAGATCTGCAGGGACTTGTTATTTTCCACATTACAGATTATTCCTTTCAAACTCTGTTCCAGAGTATACTTTTATTTTACCTCTCTATCCTAGTGTTTCATAATTATTACTTTTAGGCGATTTCCAGATTTACTCAATTTACAGACTGATGTAGGGATCATCTGTTGTGGCTCATAATTTAAGAGCTGAGCCTAGATATTTCTTTGAGATACAATGTTAACAGCATTTCCATAAGCCAAATTTTGATTTGGGAACCTGCATCTAACAGTCCAGTTTTCAGAGGTGTAGCATATGAGTCATCACACATAGGAAGATGCTTCCTGTGCTAATGAGATTAAAGAACTACTGGGGGAAAAAAAGTCAGAAGAAGCAGTAGGTGTTTGTCTGAATAATGAAAAGGAGAACCTTAATATTTTCAGCATATACTTGCCTTCAACATTTAGAAGTAAATGGCCATATTCTAAACAGGATTAGGGTTTTTTTAGCTGTATTAGTGCACGTTGGACATATGAATTGCAACTATTTAAGATTTTTACTAACAATACACAATCCAAAATGAAACCCTGCACACCTAACCTGACAAGGGAGTCAGAGTACGAGGCAGCAAGCAGCTGATATGAACAAATGAAAAAGTACATCTAAGAGTACTTAAAAATACTTAAAAAGAGTACTAAAAGTACATCAATTGTCCTCAGTGTTCAGTCCCCATCTTATTGTATTAACTGTTTAACATAGAGTTGTCCCTCCAACTTTATCTCTACAGAACTTCGGGGGAAAATTACAAAGCCATGTGCAGATGTATGAGCTGCTAAATACAACTGTGCTGACTGACCCATTTATGCAGTATGACACTAACTCCTCAAATAACCTCGTAAACAAATCAGCAGCAACCTCAGTACATATGTGACTTGTAAGAAAATTATATAAAATGTATATAGGGGCTGGAGTGCCCATATTTGATATAGAGATACATAGATAGAAGAAGAGCAAGTATTTTCCTTTTAGAAGATTAATTATCTTCCTTTCTACTAAGCAATCTCAGTGGTTCCTTTTTCATATTTCTTTATTTGCCAGTGCAGATGCTACTCCCCAGGACTAATACTGGCTGAACTAAAAATGAAAACTCCATGTAATCTTATGGGGAAAGGGAAAGATAGCATGAGTCCCACTGTGAGCAAAATGAGATGTGGAACAAGAATTGACCCTCCTTGTTTTCACAGTTCCCCATCTGGTCATGTGTGAAACACCTGCAACAAACTGGCAGCTCAGCTGGCATCAGTGGGAAAGCTTCCACGTGACATTGCAGTGCACTACACACAGAACTGGTGTATAAACTGCCCCTGAGAGGAGCACAGCTGGAGAGACATGGGAACAGAAGCGGGGGGCCAGAATTCTGCTTCAGTTTCCACAGCAGCACAGGATGCTGCTCTCAGCCACCTGTGCAGGTGCATTTTTCTTTCATATGTGAGGAAGGGAGGAGGTTAATATTTACTGAATTTGGGGCATGAGTTGTCAGCACAGCTGCAGAACTAAGAGGTTGCATGTGCAGGGAAATCCTCCCGCCTCTGGCTGGGATTTGCAGCCCTCTCTTCCCTACTTATTAGGGAATAGTACTCTTTCCTTCACTGATCTAAGGACAGGAGGCAGAAACTGAACAACAGTTTTCCAGATTTGGCTCATTCTAAATCCATCGACACTCTCCACTTCTTTCTCCTTTTGCACTTATCTTTACATTTACTGATGAGATGTTCTCACTTGTGATTGACCTACAAACTCTTGCCAAATGGTATTTTGAACTGGAAGTGTGGATTTCCAAAGGACTAACGCTCAAGACAAATATTTTTAGTATGTTTGTCCTGAGCCCAACCCCTCAGGTTTCCATATCTTTCTGCAGTTTTCATTCCTGCAAACAGCTTAAGAATTAGGTAAATGTTTGTCAGCCGGGAAATGGCAGACACTGGCCTAATGCCTGACCAGTCCTTGCTGGCCCCTTACTTAGATGAACCTGGCTGTGCAAGTACTACTCTTCATGTCCTTCATGATTTTCCACCATGGGCATCATTCCTAAAAAAACCCTAAACTAGGGGTATTTTGAGTAGTTAGCAGTTCAGACTAAAAATTTCAATTATTTTATTGGTTCTTTTCAGTCAAACATCAATAAGACATCTCTTTCCTGAAATGGAAAAAGCCTTCATTTCTACAAATACTGATTGTTTTCATTCTTGTTTTGCATTGGTCAAATAAGTAGCTTTGTGATTTATTTTTCTCACTAGATTTTTTTTTTAAATTGTTGTTGTTGTTTAAATTTTGGGAATAACATGTAATTAAATTCAAAATGAGATCCCACCGCTTATACTGCATTGAAGTTCTTGGGCAATGCTGTGCTTGAGAAAAATCTGGCCCTGGCAGGATTTGAGGACTAGATGAACTTTTGGTCTGGAACAGTAGGGCCTTGTGTACATAAGTTTTACCTGTTCATATAGAAAAATTTCTTGATTAACAGATGAATTTCATATATTATCTGCCTTGTTTCTCAGTAAAGGGACGGATTTTAATACGACAATAGATTACACTTATTTATGCATCTAGGGAGTCTATGATCTACTGATAATAACAGAGGAAGCTATTTTTATGAGTTTTAACTTCCATTTCTAGGCCATAATTCACTATGTCATGTTAAGTGACATTGGACCGAGCCTCTGTGGAAATGTCAATATGCTCTATTTAATGGACTGCCATTTCACAGCACTAAATAGTCTGTTGTTACTGGTTTGGAGGGGGAAAAAATGAAAGGACTCTGGTCAGCAACTTCTTCCAGGTCAGTGTGAGAAGACAGCTGGAAAAGGTGTGTGTAATGTAAGATATAATCGTTTTAAACTCTGAATTTTTAAATGGGGCCTTGTTTATGAGGTTATGAGTGGAGATACCTATAGTTTGATGGGCCTCTAGTTTAATATATGAATTAAGTTTGGTCTGTTTTGTACTGGCTGTATTTTCATAAGGCATTACAAACTTACAACAAGCACATTTCTTTTGCATTCTTTATAGGTGGGCAGCAACAGACGCAGCACTAACACTGAGAGTGGTGTGAAGGCATGGCACCAATAAGTGATGAGGGAGTGTTTCCCCCAAGGCAGCTCTGGGGGGAGAGAGGCTACACCTTCTTGCCCTATTAACTTTGCTTCTGGTGGGACAATAAAGTTGCATGGAATGGAAATTAAATCAGCCCACACCCCTGTAAATCAGATCTGTTTTCTTCAAGGGTTCCAGACTGATAATCGCAGCTAAACACCAGGCTTGGGCTCACAAAGGTGTTCTGCTCAGTCTACCCCTGTCACAAATCTTGTACAATTCCCTGTAATATAGATATTAGCACCTGAGGTAGAGGAAGTTTGCTGGGATTTTTTTTTTTTTTAAATATTTTTTTTCTCCATGTAAATCCCTCAAAAAGAATTTCAGTTTTTAAATGCCATAGAAATAATGGAGTTCTGTCTCTCTACTGCTGTAGCATATGATGAGATCCTCCTGCTCCCTGACATAAACCCTTAGCTTCCCTTGGGAGATGCAGGTAACTGCACCTTTATTATTCTCAAAGAGAAAGCTGAAGGGCTGATCTAGATGGGGAGAGGGGGAAGCACAGTGCACACTATCACTGCTCTCTGTGCCTCAGATTCAGAGCTTTGACACCTGTGGTTGCCAGTGTTACTCCAAGGCAACTTATCCAATGGCTTCATTCCAGTAGTGCTGAAGTGTATGAGTTCTATATTTTCAACAATACCCAGGAGTGTGAGTAAATGAGGCAAAGCAAGAATAGCTGGGGTTACTACCCAGATGCAAAATATAAAGTGTTCAGTAGTAAAAATTACATATTGCAAATGTCAATTTGCTATTACTTCTGTGTATTTTATGTGAATGCAGACCTGTTTCTAACACTATTCATACTGTTTGTTGCAGTATGCTGAAGGCACTAGCAATTTTGCACTATAAAATCCTTAGAGCAAGATAAATAGTCAGTGCTTTTAAGCTGAGCATTTAAGGCTTTCATGAAGTGCCCCAACTTATTGAAAGTTTTCTGAGAAAAAACTCTTTAATGTCAAAGAGATACAGAGCTGAGCCTAGTGTTTATGTGGATATAGATGCACTTCTATTTTTTCCCCATCAGACTAGAATAATGACTCATTATAATAGGTTATTTCTACATAATTCATTAAATAGTACAGTGTAATTGCCCTTAAAAAGTTTCTAAACTTTCTAGTTTAACAAATTTTTTCTGTAGCAAGTATAACCCAATTTCACTTAACACTGATCAGCAGCTTCTTAGAGTCTCCCTCTCAATAAATCAGATTATGAATTACAAGGCCATCTTCTCAGATTGTCTCCCTATACACAACCATGGTAACTGGGGTTTTTTAAACATTTCAAATAGAAAAAACTGAGGTCTAATTTAGTTCAATACAAGTCTACTTTGATGTGACAAAAAAATCCAGTGAAAATTAGTCTAAATATTGTAAACCATCAGAGGAGAAAAGAAACTGTAAATTTCATTTCACTAAATCGTTCAGAGATGACAACATTTATCCAGGTGGCAGAAGACCTATTTCACACTATGTTCTGTAGAGCAGATCTATTCTACAGTCCCCCGCTTCACAATTGAGCAAGTTAATCAGTACTCTGTAGGATATTCTGAGAAATGTTTCCCTCATCCCTGCTAGTTGGAACCACTGTACCAAGGTAGATAATTACATATCATAAACTTATCACAGCCAAGAACAAGACTGGAAGAATAAGGATGCCTTGTGGCAAGGGGTCCTGAGGAAGTGGGTAACAAGAATTCAGTCATCTGAATAGATCTAACAGAGACATGTTTTTCTTTCATACCTGACCTGATTTGACAGACTCCACCCAGATTAAAAGGCAGTAGTTTGAAGAAAAGCAAAACCACAGATTTTATTTTACAGCTTGCTCTGTGAAAAGAAAAAATAAATCGCCCTCTTCTACAGTACTAATGCTTCATGTCCAGAAATCCTCACTGCCATTTGTAGTTTGCAGCTGGTTTATTGGGCCTGCTTTGTGTTTCTGGCATCCTGCTATTCTGGTACTTCTGCCTTGAGATTAGCACGATGAAAATTGGGCATGGCTGAAGGGCACAATGCTCCATGTTTGTGCCCAGAACTGCTGGTTTATCCATAACAGTGCTCTGGGAGTGACTTCAGTGTCTCCAGTCTGTCTTCACTTTTTCCCTCTTTGTGCTTTATTCTCCTCCCATCTATCTGCAGCTTGCTATTTCTCTCCTCATAGCCACCTGTTCACATAACCTTTACCATAGCCAATTCCTGACCTGTAGGCTGTTCAAAATGCCAGGAATAAACGTAGCATTGCAGCTTGCCAGGCACCATGACTGAGAAGAAGTCTGGCTCTCAGAGATCCCAGATGTATTACCCACTCTCTGCACTCTCTTTTACAGAATTTTTATTCATATGGAACTTCCTACAGAATTATAGCGGAATTATCATGTAAAATGTTATCATGTACAATCTTGTTTTATAGATCCAACCTGCTTAGACAACACACAAATCACACTGCAACATGCTATGGCAACACCACCATGCAAAACATAGGGGTTTTTGTTTCAAACACTGGGATAGTTTCCTTTGTGGCTGTTTATTTACTTTTAGTGTCCTTTACTGACTTTGTCCCATTGAATCCAAATTTCTTCCTGATTACAGTGGATTCAAAGCATATTACAGGAAGCCTTTACCTATAAGAAAGTAGTTAAAGAATTACTGTTTTGTTTTAAAATGTGAGGTATTCCCACAGCCTCAAAAAACTTTGTTCTTTCACTATGTTTATTTTTCTTTTTTTTTGATTACTGGAAAGTACTGTTGTATTTTTTTAAATACTTGAGGCAATACTCTTGAGCCCCATTACATAGGAGGCAGTTTTTGAGAACTGCTTCTTCTTCCCTAGAAACTAAAAAACAAAAACCATGATCTTTGCTGAAAGCTCTCATAATTTTCATTTCAATGCACACAGCTCCATTAACCAGGTCACAGAAAAAGCCACAGACACACACGCACACACACACAGCAGCGTCACCTGCACAATTCAACAGACAATGCAGACAAACTTGAGTATAATCCAAGATCTTTCTACCTCTTTTCATAACAGGTTAGTGCTCGCCCTCAGTGTTGGTGTACAGTTTTTATGGCATGGGAAAATTGGGATGTTTCTGCCCTACAAAAATAAATGCGTTGAATTCTTTAGTTTGAACTTTCACAATGCAAAAAAAAAAAAAAAAAAATTAATTCCAAAGAAACTGGATTAGTAAAAAGAATCCCAAATATCAGGAAATCAGTGGATCTTTTGGCAGGTGGTAAAAGAATGTCCACATCAAACCTACTAGCCTCCTTTTTTTTTTTTTACATTCAAGAAATAGCTTTCAAAAATTACATATTGAAAAGAAAAAATCAGTTCTTTTAATCCATTATGAAAATAATCCAAATCAAACCCTCGCACATCAACAGCATGAATCCTTTGGTCCTGCAGAAGCTGTGTTAGACTTTAAGGAAGATGGGGAAATTATTATTGTTTATTTTTCCCTGTGCCAAATCAACAAAAATGGGACAAAGTATTTTTTAGTAAAATAAAAAGAAGACAGGATGGAAATCCAATGTATTCAAGTGTTTTAGACTCAGTATTTTGGGAGGCACCAGAAAAAGAAACAACATCAAGCAGGTTTTCACAGATTCTTTACTAAAATTAAAGCAAAAAAAAAAAAAAAGTTACTAATTTCATGCTTCCTAATGCAAAAAGCATGGCTCCCAAAGGTCCATTCCTCCATGTGTAACTATTGAGATCACTGGGAAAGGGACTAGGAGGAGGAGTAGTAATGAAAGCAGATTATAAAGCTGTAATTCCCAGGAAAATCCACAAACCGTGATGAATACACTTTTAACTGTCAGGTTAGAGAAGCAAAAAGGAAAAGTAGGAATCAGCAAGGGGAAGGGGAGAAGGATGTCCCATCAGGCTTACTAGTCTTCCGAGGCAACAAACTTACCACATTGCGTGTGAATTTCTCAAAAGATGTTCGACGATCCAGAGTGTTTTCCAACTTAAATTTAAAATAAATAAAACAAAAGAAACAAAAAGAAAAAGGAGGGGAAAAAGAAAAGCGAGAAAAATGGAGTAGAAAAGAAGGATTGATGAAACAATGGACTGCAAAACAAAGTTTGTATAAATCAGGAAGCAAACACAGGTATGAGGCTGTAATGGGACTCGGCAAAACAGTGGATGGGCGAAGCAGATATAGTACTCGACAAAAATAATTTTTCATGGGGATAAAACTTTATGGTTTGAATTTAAAGAAAAACTGAAAATAAAAAGAAATCATGAAGTGCACATCTTGTGTTAATGAACTGACATTCACAAACTTAAGGACTTCACACGGACAGTTGAAGCTTTCTGGTTTTTTCAACATCTCTCTCTATATTGGATCTTCAGAAATCAATGTTTGAACAAAAAACAAAATCACACAGTATTTTCATATAATTTTAGGTTGTCATTGTAAACAATAGAATGCTATGGTATTAATAACTACCTTGTTCCGGTAACAATCAGGGCCCTGATTTTGCAAGGCACAGGGTTCCAAGCTGATTCTAGGAGATTACTATTAAAAGCCCACTGATAAAATTATTTATCATTATAGAAATCTGCAATGCACAAGCTGCTCCACATACTCTGGGCTGTGGCTATTTAAAACTCATTCCATAATCTGAATTTTTCTAAGTAAATATTACATACCAAGACATGAGCTTCTGTTTGCCGAAGTGTGACATGATCAGTCTTTCAAGTCAGATTCCTAGCCTACTCAAAACTATTCACGTAATAATAGGGAAAGAAACAAAATTAGGAAGCCCCTATATTTGTAGTTGAAATTAGAAGTAATCCATAAGAATAAGATTGTTTCTAAACGCATTCTGTAGCTTTTATAGGTGGAATAAAGAGAACAACAATTATTACATAAGCAAACTTGCAAACATGAAAGACTATTCTTCTGGGAATTTATTTTATTTTTTTTAATGTATTTGTAAAGCACTTTGCAATTTAAGGTGCTTCATAACAGAGAAAACAGTACAATATGGGATGTAAAAATAAAAATAAGTTTTGCTAGATTAACTTATTGAAACATGCCCGCATGCAGGATATATACACATATATGTATATTGAACTCCTGTGTGTATGTGACCCTCCAAACACGCCAAGCTGGTCACCTACCAGATATCCAGTTGCACTGGCACAGGGGAGAGAAGACTGAGTATTGTTGCAAACATAACCACTGCTTTGCACAGTGGCAAGACAAAGGCAAGATGGACCAATACCTTTTTCTTGGCCTGTAGCAGCTCCTGGTAGGCACTGGATCGTATAAAACGAGGATAAGAATCACTTTTCATCAGTTTGTAAATGTGCTCCTGAAAAGGAAAGGAGGAGCTGTTACTCCCATGAAAGAAGACATGTATAAAATGGAAGGCAGTCATATGTTTTGGTTGTAGAATGTATACCAGCTAGCACTGTTATTAAGAGAAAGTATTATGGGATATCAGGTTTCAGTTCTGAAGCTAAGGCTGAATTGCTTTCTATTCTAAAAGCAGAAATTCCACCCATTTATTATGTATAAATCACACAGCACACCTTTCTTTAATTTATAGATCAAATTTTCACTACAAAATTATTTTATAAGAATTTACAACTTAGCTTAAGGCCCAATTTCAAACCTTCCTTGCATTAGTCAGTTTAACTAAGTGACTAAATTAGGAGCTGTGGATCTTTCCTCATCAGATTTTCTGATTCTCTCGTGACTTCACAGACAGGAGGAGAAACTCAATTCCGCATCATAATTAAGTGCTTAAGTTAGTGAGGATATCCCCTGGCTACTCTTGAAAACATCCTTTGACAGACATTTAGTCTGCTTCCCAGATAACAATAAAGAAAGGAAAATACATATATAAATTAAAAACCAGTTCTAGGCTAATCTATTTTTCAAGATGTTCATTCTTCAGAGGGGCATGAAAATTTGGAAAGCTTTATTCAGAAAACAAATGACAGAGGCAGCTTGTAGCTTTTCATTTCGGAGCATTCTTATTTCTGAAAAAGATTAAAACCAAAAAATCTGTGATGTAGGACACTTTATAATTCTAGTCCTAGTATATATTTGAGAAAAGATTTGTAGAAAAGCAATCAGAATAGGAAGTGCTCTCAAAATAATTTTTAAAAATCCACTGAACTGTGCTGGCTATTTTTGTGGAGCTTTTTGTTTGTTCAAACTCTAGTTTTTACAATAGGAAACCCGTAGCTCAGCAATTGGGAAATGGCAAAGAAACTGAAAAGTAAATATTGTTTCTAGGCTTGGTAGTGCACAAAATTAAAGAATAAAAAAAAAAAAAAACACACACACACACAAAAACCCACAAACAAACAAACAAAAAAACCCAACCAAAACCAAAAACAACAAAAAAACCCACAAACCACCAAACAAAACCCAACCAAAAAAAAAAAAAAAAAAAAAAGGAAAACAAACACCTCAACTTCTTTGAAAATTACTTTTTGTTGTATTAAATACTCTAGAAATGATTCTAAATGTCTTTCATTGTATTTCTTACACTAAGCAGAGAAATTCTGGTGTATATTCAGAATTTAGGCTGGTTTATTTAGGGAGGTTTTATTCAACTCCTTATGGAAGCAAACAATGTAGTCAACAGAGAGCAGACAGTGGTGATGAGCATTAAAATGTTTTTTTTGTACAAGAAACAGCCCTGTAAAAGTTTTAGTATTGTTTAGTATTGTTAATGTACACATTCGTCAGGAACTGAGGCTGGATATTATTTAAGACAATCAGACTATTTTTACCTATGTGTCACTCTCATTTGACATGGAGTTTTATCGTTCCATATTTCAAGCCCAGAAATGCTTTTCATACATTTTTAACCACAATTAAATGACCCAGAATGATATATAGGTGGTCTCCTTCCCAGCTGCCAGGCCGCAAAGAGTATGTTGCAGAGGTAGAGCCCTATCCTGACAAAACCCTGCCACCTCAGGTGGGACATTGTAGAGCTCCTAAAGCTTCATGTGAGAACATGGCAGGTGCAGCCTGTCCCCTTTTCCAAGAGAAATGGCTTCCACGTTCGATTTTTGTTTGCTGAACTGGAGGAACTAAGCAGAGATCTGAGGGGAGGAAAAGTCCTGCTTACATAAAGACTGGATACTTCACATCTTTCATACATGAAGGAAAAAATTATGAGAAGGGAGATCTGGAAATTGGTGCGGAAATTTTACACCTAGTAAAAAAAATAAATTGGATACTGGCAAGGAATTTAATTGTCCTTTAGTGACTCAAGTGCAAAGACTTTTTTTAAACCTTTAATCTTGTTAGATTGTTTATTTGTGTAATTTATGTCTTCTCTATATGCTGCATTCTTAAACCTCCAGGGGTTAGCACATGCAAGCAAAAGTTGTGTGTTTGGTTTAATGCAAAATACTTCAAAACAGAGGGCATGACAAAGGATCTAATGAAAATTGTTTCTTCATAGGTTGCTATCCTCATAATGGAAAAGTGAAAATGTGGTAGAATTAGTCCCCCTTATATTTAGGGCAGAGGCATGCTCCTGAAAGCAGAAAGCCTCAATTTAATTCCCTTCTCTCCTTTGTGGGGCCTGTAGCAGCATCTCCTGACTCCCAAGAGGATGACCTAATAATCAAGCTGTAGAAAATTCTCTGGGGATGTGATTTCAATCTCTCCTTTTGACACCATTTCACTTTGCATTAATAATTAAATTTTCATCACTGGGCTGCTGATGAAAATGGAGGATGACACCAGTTCTCCTACTTTTACTGTGAATCCAATTCTTTTCTATTGCTTTTCTCAGAAGTCTGCAAAGATGAAATAATAAGTTATAAGTTTACATGAAGCATTGCATTTAATACAGAAGTACTTCATTTTTTCTTCACTGTATGTTTTGCTCTATTTGAAGGCCATTTGAAGACTCTATATCAAGCGCAGAAGTTTGATGAAGAACTTCATACACCTCATGAAAGAAAGAATGTCACTCATTTGCATTGCCAAAATGACACTGTAGAAAACAGGCTGTTATCATTTAATTCCCAAATATTTTTTTTATATAGAAATTTTTTTTTTATATAAAAATACTTCACTAGCCAATATTCAATTGACAATTTCAAATGTCCCTAAACAGGATTGCAAACTGACCTGAGCATCCTCAAATGTGTATCTTCCAGGGTCCTTCACATTCTGAGTGGTTTTGTCATAACTTTTTGAATCTAGGTTGATAGCGCTGGGTGCACCCGGAGCAAGAAATTCTTGCCAGATTTCTTGGACGCGAGCAGGGACTTCACGGATAGGCCTCTTCTTCAGGTCTTCTACTGCTAACCAGAACCTATGGCACAATACAGCATCTTCACTTCCAGTTCAGGAAAATCATTAATAAGGTGCTCACATTCTTCCTTGCTCTTAAAAAAGGAAATTAAGTAACAGAAGTTTTCATCTAAAGCACGCTAAAACAAGGAAAAAGCTGTGATTTTGTGTTGGGATCAGCATTCTGTCTCAAGGCAACCAATCCACCTTAGCAAGAAATTATTAGAAGACTCTTCATGAGATGTATAGGAAATCCTTTGTTACTTACGTATAGGTAACTTGCTTATAAGGAGATTTCCATTTAACTGGAATTAAACTGAGACTTCATTTCGGCTGAACCACAAGGGCTTATACTGGTTATAAACTGCTTTTTGACACTCCTTCAAAAACTAATAACTTATATTCTTGATATCTACATGAATCTCTCAGTCCTACTAAATTCTAAACTGTACAACTAATTTTGTTACCCACAAATCATGCATGAACTGGGAAAGCATTTTTTTTCTCATTATAATTTAATTTCTTCCTTTAGCATTGCATTTCTATGCATATTTTTGCTAAAAATGCTGAATGGAAGCATATATTCTCTTTTCCGCTGCTGAGCAAACCAACACATACAGTGCAGGCTGATTCATTGTATCCTTCTCATACATTCTGGAGAAGGATCACTAAAAAGGTCTTGAAAAATTTGTGATCATAGCTAGCTAGCTATAACTTTTACTTTATTATTTCTTCCATGAGTGTTCAGACTCTCTCACTGCACAAAATAATTCTAAATGCACTCAGTATCCCGTGCTTAGGCACTGTGCAGACCACTTAGTTCTCCCCCAAAGCCAAGAGCTCAATGAAATTTTGACTTCGTTAAACATGCAATATATACCATCACAACTTCTCATTATTGTTCTGACACAGTTGATCCTATGAAACAGATAAGCTGAACCTTGAAGTGATTTCATTGTGAAATCAGTTGATTTTACAAGGCTTACAAATAAATTGGGTGCACCTTTAAAATGTGGTTCCACCCTGCTCACACTGTGAGATCAAACTGAGATGTCTCCCTGTTCAACAGGGATGGGATAGGAGAGAGGAACAGTGAAATTGTATTCAAACCCCACAAGAAAGCAAAATGATACCCCCCTCAATCCAATTTCTAATACAGTTATTTCAACAACTCTTAAGAGAGGATAGTAAAGCGTAGAAAACATTACAGTATTCCTACCATAAGACATTCTTCAACTGAGATAATTTACCTTTCAAGAAGCAACTATTCCTTCATAGTCCTTTTTGAAACATCTTTGTAGCACAGGTGGAAGGAGCCCATCCTAATTTCACACAAGCCATTATGGTCAGCTTTAGTCTACCAAGATGACTATTTTAGGTATTTCTATACCCTTCAATTTTTCCATCTAAGACTCTCCAAGAGAGAGAGAGCCAATATTGTCCCAGTTTTGCAAATATATTCATAGTATGATAATATAAAGTTATTTCTCCAACATCACAAAGGGAGTTTTCTACCAATAGAACTCCAGTTTCAAAAATTCTGGGTAGCATCACTTATATATATGAACTGCAATGTGAATTGAACACAGTTCTCATAGAGCGTGGGGACATATCATTGGAATCTTATGGCAATGCAGTAAGAATAGAGGCCTCATAACTCAAGTTTAAAAACTGCATAGCTCACAAACTCTAATTCAGTTCACTCTGCCAAATTTGGGCAACCTACTTTGGCTTCCTTAAGCTGCTCTCGATATTTGCATTTAAAAGCATATATCCTGCAGTGCTAACCCCTTCAAGTGCATCTTCTGGGACTGACTGATTCCTTATGTGTCTTGAAGTCAGGTAAGGAACAGAAAAATGAAAGGGAAGGATGCTCATTGTAAATACACATTTTCTACCACCCTGCAGACATCCTGAGGATCTAGCTCAAAGATGTCACTTCCTTGTTTGTTCCATTGCATCACTGCCACTACTTCTGGAAGTCACAAACATGCCTTAGGATGCTATTTTAATTTGCAAGTAAGTTGCTTCCATGTAGTAGGTTATACTCAATTATGGGGAAATAGATGGGAGATAAATTCAAATAAATTTAACTTCTTTGCTTCCAGCATAAAATAGGCAGGTTGTATAGACACATCCTTACGGGGTGAACACTGGTTCTTTGCTTTTGCTGTGGAGACCCTCTCTAGAAGGTGCTCAGTACTATTGGAGCAGAGACCTGACCAGCTGACCGTAAACCTCGCTCCTGTTTTCTGTCCCAGCATTTGGGCTGCCACACTCTGGGGCACACACCAGACACACAGCTAAATGAGTGTATAATATATGGTAGTAGTAGATCCAGCCATATGAACTGGTAAAACACATGTTGCACGGGGATTATGTCCTCCAGCTGGATAACTTTAAAGTGACGGTGGCCTTGGAGGTAAATTGCACAGCTACAACACCGCTTCTGCCCTGTTAACTGACCTAAATGTCAGGTGTAGCCAACAGCAGATCCCAGATCAAACTAATCAGTCAAATTTAGCAGATAGGGACATAGAGTGAGAGAAAGGCTACAGTGATTCTCGTGAAATGTGTGAGATATAATCAGAGTGTGGTAACAGTGAAGTGAGAATTATGTGGGCTTTGTACCCAGTGCATATGACACAACAGGTTGGAGGACAGACCTTTCAACACTTTCAGCAAAAGAAAAAGAAAATAAAACCTTAACAAACTCTATGAAGAAAATATTTTTCCAGGGGCAGGAAACACTACTCCCTGGTTACTAGAGTCCACCTTCTTGCCAAGTACAACTTAAAGCTTCAAGACCTAGTAGAGTTGAAGAACTTCAAGAAAATGACACAGAATAATTATTAAATATTGCAACTAGTTTCTTCTCAGTTAATCTGCAGAAATGGCAACATTGCTGGGACTTAGCATTTAAGCTTGAGTCTGAATGAGAAATAATACACAGGCGATTTCAGCTTTGAGGATTAAATTTTGATGAAGCTATTACCACCCAAAACAGAGCTTTGTAATCAGCAGCATAAAGGATAAAAATCACCAGTGCCCATACTGTGTGGGAAAGTGTCATCACCAGCACTTCTATTTAGACTTGCAGGACAGACATCAAGGACAGTTAGTCCATTTTCATTAATACTTTGTAATATGCAGAACTCACTCCTCCACCATCAGTGGAGAGAAATTTGCATTTGAAGTCATAAAGAGCAGTGATCAATAATAAAGAACAAACAAAAAATGAAACAGATTGGATTAAAAAGAAGACTTAACCTCTTGCAGCATTCTCCCTTTTCCCTAGTAAGAGTACTGTAATGGTATGTTTTAAAGAACAACCAGAACCACTGAAGTAAGTGAAAATAAAGCCTAATAACTGAAACAGTTTATAGGCAATACTGCAAATTTTTAGAAGTGTATGTGTGGGTTTCTATTTATTTCTTCTATAGAACATAACTGAAGCCTCTACCTCCAGTACAGAACATTTCTACAACAAGTTAAATGGATGAGTCCAAAATAAACATCTCACAAAATCTCAGCTTGCATGGGGGTGCTCAGAGAAAATTTATTGAGGAAAAACATCTAAGTCTAGCTAACTCCTCAGTTCCTCTCTTCTTTTTCTGGACGAGAATGCAAAGTCCCTTTTCTCTATTTAGTCACACATTATGGAAGCTAATAAATGAGGATCAAAGGAAGGGGCAAGGGATCTGTTGGCTTTTCCTTCCATGCATGATGGAAGATATCTTGTCACCATTCTCCCTTCACTAAGCTAGGAAGTTTTTGCAGTCTTAGTGCTGCCTTTGTTATCACACCCACTGCAATACTACATAATGATTTGGACAGGTTGGCAGGCCTGAAACAATTTAGATTGTTTGTGGTTTTTTTTTTTTTAAAAGGCTGTAATTTTTACAAAATAACACTTGGGAGCAAATGTACAGTCAGCATACAAATATTAACTTTCCAAAGAATTCTGCTGCATTACAAGCAAAGGAAAGGAATACAGTTTCCCACAGGAATGAAAGAAATTAGGTCTCCAGGTGCCATGTTGCAGTAAGATTGATTTCAGTACCTCACTCTGTTTGGAAGTCCTTGTTCTAGTGCTCAGACAGCCCTGTGACCCATGATCCAGTACTACTGGATCATGCTCAAACTTTAGTCTTTTGAATTTTAAACAATGGTCACCATTTTTGTAATAGACAGTGGGAATTTCATAAATCTATTATCCAAATCATATGTTACTTTAGCTATTTGTGCTGTGTATTGAGCAGCACACAAGGCAATTCTTCCAAAAAATCTGCATAATAACGAGATCACAAGTCACAGGCTGCAGAATCCAAACTGGATGTTAGCAAAGTACAGTCTGTATTGAAGTTAATGCAATGACAGAACTGCTCACACAGCTACTAAGCTTTACAACACTCCTTTAGAGAGCAAAATACTGTTGATCCAAATTTACAGGCAAAGAAAAAAGCACAGAGATACAAAGTAAGAAAGTGAAACCTAGCTGTGCTCCTAATCATTGCACAATTCTCAGTTTTAACTCAGAGCTTGTTTCCTTATCCCTGTTCTGTTTCTTAAGATAGGGTCTATATCCACCAAGAATAAGATTTTCAGACAATTTAGACTCTCTCAGACCAGGTTAATGAAATAGTAACACTGGGACTTTTAGCTAAGACAATCGCACTTGAATAGAAATGGTGTATCTGGCAGACCTATCACTTCACATGTTTTGTATTTCTTTCACCACAATGAAGTATAAGACACCTAATCTACTAATACTGAAGCCCCTGTTGTGCAGTCCCTGCTGTATCCTGTGTACTGTGCTCAGAAGCTTGAATCCAAAGTCCCTGCTGTCTAGCCAACTGTAGGTTTGACAATGTTTGTTGTAAATTTTATCATGATAAGATCTGTAAAAGGACAAGAGCCAGCTACTGAGTTCAATTAGTTGCAGTGGGAAGATGTGGGTGGAAATAAATATTTTTCTCAAGGTGACTGTCAAAAAACTAACAATAATTAAAAAATACCACTGAAAGAAACCCAAATTGCCATGTTGGAGTTAACAGAAAGTGGAGGTCTTTTAAGATTTATTCAGTGTATTGCTTGAAATCATCAAGCATTTAATTTCTTATATTGAGATCTAAAACATTTTGACAGCCATTACAAAACAAGTTTTAAAAATTCATGTTTTCCAACCCAACTTTGCTATGTGAACCTAATAGTGGATTGATTTCACTACAGTTTGAACACTTACAAGCATAATTCTGAGCTTGTGAGACAGTTTTCCTTCGGCTAATTGTCACAGAAAGCACTTTTTTATAGTAAATTTTATTCCCTGACTGGCCTTTAAGCTCACTATTACTCTGATATTATATTTTCTAATTCTAATATAAGAATCTGGAGGGAGAGATAGAAGAGTAGATGGCATGTCAAAGAATCAGCTCTAAACAAATTTCTTGAGGGATTTTTTCTGTATCAGTCGCAGTTTGCCTGTGATTAGTGTTGTAAATAGGATTAGATGAAAGAGTTAGGGATTATGCGGGTAACAGTACAGTTGGCAGAGAGACAAATTAGTCACAGAAAAGCACCAGAAACTGCAGCACACACTGGGCTCAATAGGTTCATGTTTAAACAGCTGCTCTGCATAACAAATTATCAGGATACTCTTTAAATAATACACAAAAATTACCTTTTGTTTTCTTGGTATTATTCTGATTTTTAAAAAATCACTTTACCAGTTGGACTTTTATTTTAAAAGAAATATCTATGTACCTATGACTAATGAAGTCATCAATATACACTAACAGGTCAGGTCATATTTGTGATGCAAAATTAATGTTTGAATATGAACATGGTCAGCAACTTAGAGAAGTCCATCTTTAATTATTCTGCTGACAAATTTAAACTAACAATAAGGAGATTGTGCAAATACTCAGTATTTACAAATCTACACCAGAAATGTTGCATGCCTCTTGTAAGATGTGACAAAGTTGTAATTCTACTATGAATGGCTATGCTGCACCACTTCAGAGTGAGAACTGACAAAGACAAAAAGTAGTTTAGGATTCTTCTGAGTTCTAGAATGTAAATGCAAAGAAGATTTTATACTACTTAGGTTATTGGTAAATGGAAAGTGGAATGATATCTGACAAGAAGGTGGAATAAAGAGAAAAATATGTTGTCTATACTTTTGTACTATGTACAGTTTCTTATCTATAGAAAGGCTGTTATTAATCCTTCTGAAATAACTCTTTCTGAAATATGACTTTCTTAGAACTGTGACAACAAAACATGTTATTAGCCAATGGATGAACCATTGTATTTTAAAATCAAATAATTATTCTTCTCACTTAAAAGTAAATCTGTAAATATACTTTTTTAAAAAAGCACTATACAGTTTATACACTAAGAACACTTTTCCATTTTGCAATTAGTGAGGAATTTGAGAGCTAGATGTCACCCTACTTCGGTTGTGTCAGTTCCACAAGTACTGGAATATTGGTGGAGATTTTTAAAATGATCCCCAGGAACCTGACCAAAAGTGAAAGTCTGTGCATTTTACTTTTAAATTCTTTATTTATGTTTCAACTTTTTTATTTTCTCTTTACTTTTCTCATAATATTTGACAATCAAAGATGGTGAACAGGCTTTGAATGGGTCAATGTTTTAAAACTGTTTAATAAGACAAGTTGAGAGAAAACCTCTTACATGGGAAGTTTGACCCAAAATTGAACAGGAATGGAAAAGTATACTTCATGGGAGTCTCAGTTAACTGTATGAATATTTTCCTCAACCTGTATATGAAAACAATCTGTATGAGTGGATTTTGAATGGAAAGGCACAGGAAAATTTTTCAAGGCACAGGAAAATTTCATTTAAAAAATGAAGAGAAATGTATTGGAAAAACAAACAAACAACAAGTAACAGCAACAAAAAATATATTTTAAAACCTATTAAAAAAAAAAAAAAAAGTGGCTCTCATTTACCTTAAATTTTCTGAACTGAATTCTGACTCCAAGAATTTCAGAAACTGCTCTCTTCCCACAGGGTCTTTCAAAGCTTCATCCATGCCAAATCCCCATCGTTTCACCCTCTGCTGTCCTGGCTCTTTGCTACAGAAGAAAAAAACAACACAACCCAAAGTGAGCAATACTTTAGTGTTCTAATAATCTGTGTTCATAATTTAGACTAAGTACTAAAGTTCAACCACAGGTTTCTCACCTTCTAGATTGTTCATATCTGTGAAATGTTCAGAGATGAGCACACAAACTGCTAGTCCTTACACAGGATGAAGGTAATACACATGCATTTGCACAGAAGACTTCCAACTAGAAATGCTATCAGATTTTAAAAGGTGTCTTTTTTTCACCATACTGGAATCCTGTAAACTGGTTAATATAACATTTTACACAGATTTATTAATCCAAAGCACTTCCCATCTTATAAAACTGTAAAGCTGGAAAGACCAGGAGGATATTGCATTGTCCTTCTACCTCAGTATTTTCCTGCAATACCTCTGTCTGAAATCTTCACATTTCCAGTAAGCATATTCCATCCCCTTACTTTCAAAGAAGAAATAAAATTATATACCTTGCCTCCAGTTCCCAGAAAGTGGTGTCATCTGATATCCAAGGGTTTGATGGATCAGGGGGCACAAGAAAAGGATCATATTCCAAATACTGCTCTGTATAAGCTAATAGACTAGGAAAACAAAAGCATCAAACATTGTCATGTCAGGAGGTGTGGTAACCTGATCAGGTTACCCCAGTTAACAAGTTACCTTGTGTCAACTGAACTCTGGAAACCATGTGCGCACACGCTCAGAAGTTAGCTACAGGCTCAGGGTAAAATAGTTTTGCTAAAGTCTTTCAAAAGTGGATCTCTGAAGAAGGAGGGGTGGCTCAGGTCTATCAAGTGTTGAAATAAAATAAACTTCCCTAATACTTCCACACAGCTCCTTTTCGGGCGTTAATTAGACACTAAGAAATTAAATCAAGCAACCTCTTCCATGCAGATTTGTTTTCATAAACGGACATGTTTTATACCCCCACAGTTTTGATTATCAGTTCCTTTAAAATCTGTTATAAAACACTGAATGTCATGTAGCTCATATTTACAGGCCCTATACCTGTTAGGACTTCTTTTATCCTCTCTAAAATACAATTAATATTTTTATTATTTCCTAATCCAGTGGCATCTCTCCCAAGTTTATTGTTTTCCAAAATAAACAGATTTTTTTTTTAAATATTGTGGTATTCATTAATGGGTCTGACTCTGTTAAACACACTAAAAACTTTGTTTGTATTCTCATAATTTACATCTCCCATGTCCTTATTCCTGTTTTCTGTTTCCTTTGGCCTCATAATTTTTTGACAAGTGAGGACAACTACTCTTTCTTTTCATTTCAATTTATATTGTATTTGGTCTGCATTCTGTTTTTATGGCTCAGCAAACAAAAATACTTAACCCGTTCTCTTTATAAAAAAAAATATGTATTTGTATATGTATGCATGCATATACATATATATATAAGTAGACACAAATACACACATGTATATGAGAGAATGAAGAACAATTTGTATTTGGCTTACTCTGCTTTACTAAGCCTTAGGCAGCTCAATTTTCTGCAATTCTCACTATCTCTGTATTTAATGTGTAAGACAGAACATTTGTTTTCTCCACCTCTTCTCTACCTAAGCTGTAGTTAGTCTTTCCAAGAGACTTTTCCTTTTATTAGACAAATTAAATTTGCCAAACTTTGGTCCTATCTGGACAAAGATTCCTGCTAGTGTAGGAATCCTCTGACCCAAAGTAAGCTCAGGCTCACTTTGCTCAAGCTGTGACTAAGATCTTCACCAATCAGTTCCCTTGCTTTATCAGTGACTGCCCTTTTGAAACAGCAAAACAATAACCCCAGACCTATTTCCATTTAGCCTCCCTGACAATGCAAGATGAAACTTGTGGTCACTTGGTCAGAGGCTCTTTCAGTGACTACTGGGATTATGAGAAATGTATCACGGAATATCTGGGCCATCTTTTATTAGTAAAAGAACTTCATACCTCCCCACTTAAAGTAAACTCTCGTCAGTTATTTCTATGATGTCTGAGCTCCCATGTCTTTCTTTGAAGAGCTGTTTGCTCTGAAAAGCCCTTTGAAGCTATTTCATACTGACATTTTCCCAATGGTTATCAGTCTAATTGAAAAACCAGAAAATGTGACAATATACGTACCTCTCTGCAACTTTTGACATTTTTAATCTATGTCTGTCTAACTGCATTTGCCAGTGCTTAATCTGCAAGAAAGGAAGGCAAAGAGTTTTATGAGTAATTTATTGCTTGAATCTATTTTATAATTTTTTTATTAGGGCTGTAATTGAACCTTAATTTATCCTAGGGCACAGAAGAGAAATATATCAGAATTGAAACAACATTTCACCAGTGTAGTTCTAAAATAAACGGAATGTTCCATTAAAGAGAAAAGACAAAAAATGTGCCCAATATAATATTTTCCCTAAAGGTTCATCAAAAGAAATCCAATTAGCCTTTTTTTTTTTTTTTTTTTTTTTGAAGAGAGCTATTTATTCTTCAGATATTTACCTTCTCTGAATTGTAACATCTCTGGAAATATTAACAAAGTTCTAACAGTAGATAAACGTGTGAACCTATATATGCATATATGGAGAGGTAAGTCTACCCCCAAAACTCAAATTAGTGTTGAAAGGAAGAGCTGTCTACTGCTGACTAGGCTAATGGGCTTAGCTATACAAAGAACCCACTCACTGGCCTGGTGCTCACTGCCTTTAGATGTTTAATACGAGATACCAAAAACGTCAAATTTTTTCTCATTAATTTTAATGAAGTTACATGCCTACATCTATAAATCTTGAAACAAAGAAAAGGTTTATTAAATGTTTCCTCAGCTGTTTTGAACAACTTCCTAGTTACAGTAATTTTTGGTTTAATACCTACTTTCCTAGAAAGTTCATTTAAAATTACATGTTTGTAGTTATGTTTCAAACCTCTTGGTGTAGTTCATCTTCTGTGGGTGGCTTAGTCTCTGGTACTGGCGTGTGGGTAGGGCTGTGACTTCGAATGTCATTTTGTAAGCCATAGACAGACTGTGCGAAAAATAGGGAACAGTGATAGTTGCTTTCAGACAATGCTTTCTACAAATATTCATAGTAACTGTCATGCTTTAGTAAAGTGTGCTCAAGAAGTTAGCCAACATCATCCTTTTTTAAAAAAACTGTAATAAACCATGCGCTCAGGTAGAATTGTGCATCTATAGCAAGGTGTAAGATAAATACTCACAAACTCCCACAACTTCATAATGCCATGGAACAAAGGATTTACTTTTATTATATATCTACATTAACAGCATAGCAAGCACGGGGGATGACCCTGAGAGATGCTATTGAAGTAAGTGGAGTACCCTCACCTCGTAGTAGGAGTACCCTTAAAGGTAGACTGTTGTATGGATTATTTGGATGACTTAAATTTGCAACTACTGCCTGGTAGATTACAATAATCTAGATCTTTCACTACCATAAATAAACCAAGCTAGAACTTTCTCTGAATCCACTTTCCTTTTTAAAACAAACTTTTCTATGGGTCAACATGAAAATGTACCTCAAAGGAAGTCCTTCCAAGTGGGAGTCAGTCTACATTATTATGGGGCAAAGGATTTAAAGAGAAAGTTTTGAGATGATCCATCTGTATATCCCTAGAGAAGTTACACTGTTCATGTCTGGATCCTAATTTAGATGAAACTAATTTCCTCCTCGACCATTTTGGGCATAACTATCAAAGAGAGACACCCTTTTCATTAAAAGCAGGACAAGAACTAGTGTTAGAGTTTATGCTGAATTTTTAATTTATTTTTCCTTAATTTCTGACAGAAACATTTTAACTGCTTTATTCAATCTGCTAAGCAACATGAATGAAGCATGCAAAAATTAGTTTTATTTTCCAAATCTCTGTATATTTCTCCAAAGTCTTATGTGATAGCATTTACTTAGCATTAACAAATTTCTTAACACCAACTCAACTAAGAGCTTATGAAATATTAACCTACGTTGATGCTTTTGCTCCTTGCAGTTGTAAAAAAAAAAAAAAAAGCTATAAATTTCCTCCACCTCCTGCTTTTGATATAATAACAGTACTTACCTTTCTTGTTTTATGTGGATTTCTCATTCTTGAAGATTTTTTTATATCCACTTCAGTAGTGTTTACACATCCAGGCTATTAAAAGAAAAAGAAAGGAAAGCAGAAGACTAAACCTGTGAAGGAACTCCATATAATTTTCATTGAGATACTCCTCTTCAGTGTGTGAGACTAAAAAAATAAATAAACAGAGATGTATAATAACTTGATGTCTTTTTGCAGTGGTCCCTCTTAAGAGTCCCTATGGAATGAGACACTGAAGACAACACAAATTTGAAATAAAATAAGTTATCGAGATAAGAGAAATCAATCACATGTTTCTGCATTGGTTTTGCCAAGGAAGCCATACATTGCATTCTAGATGTCCGCCTAAGAAGCACGGTTGACCTCATTAGACAAAATAAACAGAATTATGCAATACCCACCTCACCTGTGAACCTCAGGTTCCCTTCAAGAGCATCTGATTTTGAGTCAGTTTTTAAAGATGGTCTTCTTTTAAAATAAAATGGGGGAGAAAGTACCAAAATAGGATTTTTTTTCTTCAGAAAAGAAAGGAAAAAAAAAAACAAAACAAACAAAACTAACCAAAACAAACAAACAAAAAACCAAACAAACAAAACAAAGGAAAAAAAAAAAAAAAAAAAAAAAAGGCAGGCTTCTGCAGCCTAACCAGAAGACTGGCAGTCTAAATAAAATGTCTCTCAACACATCTGATTTGGCTTTCAGAGATTCATTCTCAAACTCTGTAGCATCCCATAGTACACAAGTCCCAAAATTTCTCCTTCCTTTGACACTTCCCCTTAAGTACAAAATCTGTGCATAAATCTGTTCTTCATGCCTTGCTGGAAATAAGTGTTAATAAGTGTTAATAAGTGATAATAAGTGTTTTACTCTCAGGTGAGTTTTTCCTATTGATTTTAGAAGGATTGCATTTGAGACTTGGAGCGGAAAGTACAGGGTTTTAGTGGTTAGTAGGTTGCTGACTTTTTTTAATGGGAATACCTAGATATCAAATTTACTTGCCCAACAACCTAGCTAGCCAAAAAACAAATAGATTTCGTTAAATAGAGCAATGGTACTTTGCCTTTGGAAAATAGTCTAAACAGACTTGGGGTTTTTTAACCAAGCATTTTTTTAAATTAATAAGTTTTTATTTTAAAGTAATAAATTAATGTGCATTTGATCATATTAAGTTTTGACTATAAACAGTTCCTCGTGGCTAAGATTAAAAATAAGCACTTAGATAATACTGCATCTGACACTCCTATTTAGCTACACTTGTGAAGGTATCCTTTGTGCTCCTGAATGAAAATGGGAGTCTTTAAACTCGGAGTAACTCGCAACTCTCAAAGAAAAAGACAGTTTGAAAAATAGAAAATTCTGCCTGATGGTCAATTTAAAGGCAGAAGGCAATTTCCCAGGGCAGTATACTGAGATATTAAGTTTTTAAAAAATGCAGTGAATCTACTTTAGGATTACAGCAGCAGCTGGCAGTGAAGAAGAAGGGCTTTAACAACATCTACAGCCTTTGAATGTAACAACTTGAATAGCAGGCACACTTACATAAGGCACAAACTGTTATTTGTTCAGTTTTCAGTTATGGTTTGTTAAAAGCATGTCCTAAAAACAGAAAGGGAAAAAAAACCCAATACCAACAACAAACGAGCCTCATCTGAAGCCTCTTATTTTTAAAGATTTTAAGCCCACCAGCAGTCGACACGTACAGACAGATCTTGCCCTTTGCCTGGTAACTTACATGCCAGAATTTTGCAGATTGATGCAAGGGACACAAGAAATTCTGTCAGACTTCTAGAAATTAAACGAGGGCAAAAGTTTTGCTGGTTGCAAGGAGACCCAGCCCAGTACTGACCTACTAGAGCACCTAGTGCATTCTTACTGACACCTGGCTCTTTATTACCTCTCTGAAGTAAAGCTGATAACGGCATACTTCAGCAGGGGCACTCAGGAGGGGCTCTAAGGGCAAAAGTTTGACCAAGCTGTGACCAAGGAGAATCTGACAGGAGAGCACCAGAAGGAAGGTAGAGGCCGGGAAGCATTAGGAAGCTTTAGGGCAAAAGAGAAGGCAGCTAAAGGGAATATCAACTACTCTGATGGCCTCAGGTAACAATACGAGTTTAGGACACATATCACTACCTCTATACAATACCACTTTCATAATTTGATTTGTATTATATAACTCAAAGTACCTAATGTAATGGGATTTATTGTTTCTCTGGAGCTGCCACACTTCATCTGTCAATATTTAGGAATAAATAGTAAATATCTTTTCAATTAAAATAAACACAAAAGCTTGCATTATTTGAACATTTTGCTAAAATAACTGAGTCTTTGTGGGAAAACCTTTGCTGGACAACACTTCATCTTATTTGTATGCCCCCATTAACATAATAAGTATGTGTTTGTATACAATTATATCCAGCTGTGTTTTCTTTTTGTGTTGTTTTTTTAACTGGACTACCATAGTTCAAATAGTGAGATGCCTGTCAGAGTGCTCTGCTGCAAGATTCCCATTTAGTGTGTAGTATATAATTTGCATACTAATACTGTAAATAGTTTTCAAACAGATTTCCTGGAAGACTTGAAATTCTTCTATATGTGTAAATAGAATGCCTATTTCTTTCAGGATTAATATTCTGTATGAGAACAGTTTCCCCTTCGCACACGCAGAGGAAAGTCTTGTGACCTTGTTGAAATTATCATACAGCAAGATCATAATTAGCATAAAATTTGGCCCTCATATGTTTTTAAATGTCTGGATGAAAAACTGTCATACATTTAAAGGAAACTTATTTTTTTTCATCTATCTATTAGCAGGTCCTTATCTCAAAGAACAAATGCCACTGTATTATTTTACATCAAATGATATGTCAGTCCAGTCATGATAAATTCACTGCTGAGATAAATGGATGATGATAAGTAATATGAAAAACCCACATATAGAAGATTTTTTGATCCCTCCTTCAATTATTGGATAACAATGTTATCCAGCTTTCTATTGATGCTGTCTAGGAGGCAGCATAATAGGATTCAGCCAAGAAACACAATGGAAGGAGGAAGTCTGGTTTGTAAGGAGAGGAGGTACAAGAACGTGCATGTTTGGATCTGGCTGTCGCCAACATTTGAAAACAACCATCTGAGATTATGTTTATTTAAAAATATATCCATGTGATATTCATATTCTTTTCCTGATAACTGTGGTGACAGTATATTAATTAATTAAGCCCTTGTAGTAGTGCTACAGTGAATTAATTTTATGGCACCTGTAGAACTCTTTGGAAGAATTAATTATTTACATAAAATGGCATAGTACCTTTCCACCTGCATAGTGCACATTTCTGAGTATTTGTAGTCTGTTTGCTGAACAAAGTTGCACACTCCAAGGGCCTTTTTTATTGCAGAGCCACATAGCCCAAATCAAGTGTTATCAATGCATTTTTTGTGCAAAAATATCTTTGCTATGATGTACTTGTAATTATAATAAACATGAAATGCTCAACAGAAAGTAAATTTTTATTTATAATGACATCAGTATAAGTTTTGATGGCTTTTTTTCTTTCTCAAAGAAGATGGAAATTTAACTGAATCTACTTAAGCCAAAATAACCAGAAGTTTTCTTGTATCTGAGACAAATATACCCATGTGTGTGGGAGGGAATAAGCTCATGCATTCCAATTGGCTGGGAACTGTCTTTCTGTATTGCTGCTCGCTAGGAAATGATCTGAAGCCGAACATGAGTCAGCAGTATCTCCTTGCAGCAATGCAGACAAACCACATACGCAGCTGCATTAGTAATAGCTTAGCCAGAAGGCAAAGGAAGTGCTTATTTTTTTCTGCTTAGCATCACGAGGAAATATCTGGAATGACAAGACTACTTCTGAGCCCCACAAAACACACAAGAAATATATTCAAAATGAGCAAGTCCAGTAGAGGAACAGAATTTTTTGTGCTTGCAAAAGGGGAGGGCTAACTCTTGTCTTCTGTGCCTAATCAGGGCTTGCAGTGCTAGACCTCTTCTGGAGGTGCACTGTGGAAGAACAGAGGACAGTAGACTGAAATTGCAGTAAAGGTCAGCTATAAAAAAATATACTTCATACTAAAAGTAAGAGAGGCTGAGGAATGTCTATTCCTGGTAGTTTTCAATGGTTTTTTAACCAAGTGCCTGGACAATCTTATTCAGCTTAGAAGTTGACATTGGTTTGAGCAGGAGGTTGGACTAGACCTCCAGAGGTCTCTCTCAGCCTATATTTCCGTGGTACAGCCTACTCATCACAAGCTGCAGGGAGTGAATTTCAAATAATCCACTTTACAGAACACTCCAACCAAGTATTCATGTTGGTGTGAAATTCATCTTCCTGCCTTCCCCACCCCACAACTGCAGAACAGAAATACAAGATTGGTATTTGCTTCTCTACTGCTGCCTCTGCCCTCTGGTAGCCCGTGGTGTTCCCTGAACTCGTACAAACAAACCTGGGGCTGATTTAAGGAAACACAATTTCACAGTCTCTTTAGTTCAAAACACATAGGTGCTATTTAAAATAATTACCTTATTTCAATATGTACACCCATAAATTCAGAGTTCATTAAAGCAGTAAATATTTAGGCAGATTGATTCACACACCTTATGCATTTTCATTGCCTTTCAGTGTCAATACGCTATGAAACAGATATTTTTATTTGTTTTGCAGGCATTGGCTCACTTTTTAAGTTTCACTGCAAAATACTAAATTGTAATATTCCAGGCTTTCAAAATATAAAGACTATAAATTTAAATTATGGACCTGGATATAAACATGACAGATCCTCTCTTCCACTGGAAAAGATAAGGTCAGACATGCAAACATAAACATGAGGCAGAGATTGAAAGCTGTCTTTTACATTATGTGTAATAGAATGTACCACAAAAAAGTAACCTTAAAATTTGAAATTTCCTGAGTGTCAAATGTTAGTGTTGCCTTCTAAAACAATCTATTCTGATATTTCTGTCATTGCTGCTATTCCTGTCATTTTTCTAGGAGTCTTACAGTCACTATTCTTATCACTCACTTCTAGAGTAGAGA